GAATATTAAAGCTGTATTGTTTTTGTTATGTGTTCAAACCCCCAGTACCTTTTGGCCCAAATTTAAACAAAATTCATGTAGATGTGACATTGTGGTTCCATATTAAAATTAGTACATTTTCCTGCAATTCCGTGTCTTCAAATCCCAACAGTTGCTGCCCAGTGAGATATGTTAAGAATGTGAGGTGTCCACCACACATTTTCTGTGTGCGTGCTCAAAACACTCCATGCCTCCTTTGCTGCTGCGATGCCGACTTCATTAATGAAAGCTCACCTCTTCTATAAGAGTGGCTCGATTGATCATTTCTGAATGACCAGCCTAAAGAAAGAGTCGTCTTTGCGTTCTTATCGTGTAACAGTTAAAAAATAAATAAAAGAAATGTGGAAATGAGGCTTTATGAGGTCAAGACGTGACCACGCCATTAGAGAGAAGAAGATGGATGAACTGTAAGCAGTATTTAGTAAGTTCAAGGAGCAGCCACAAACTCAAGTCTCTCAGGCAGCGTTAGCTTTTATTACATTATCACTTTTGTAGTTATTACCTCCAAGACCAATAAAACCTGCCACAGGTCTGGTCCTCGCTGTGCAGGTACAGTGAGATGTATGTTGGGTGATTTTATTGGGTTATTACTGGAAAACAGGGTCATTTTGCTGCAGGGTTGAAATGAAACCGGCAACTCAGACTGGGGTATCTACGTTTTAATCCGTCCAATAAAATGAGTAAAAGTAACGCAGCAAACATATCAACACAAAAATATAGCCTTACTACGGGGCTTGAAAATAAAGACTGGGACAAATTGCTCTTCATCTCACTTGACGTGTTTCTCTTCCCTCTGGGATGTTGTTTAGCCCTGTCTAAAATCTCTGCCTCTTTACAATCGAGGTTCCTTTTCAGTCGTTTCACTCAGTACAACACACAGTTGTATGCCTGGCTGAAGCCACCTCTAATCACGTCTTTAGACCGGTGACGTGGTGACGTTGAACGTCGGGTGACAGGCTCCGCCTTCACCCTATAAGTTCGGAGTCACCAGCGTCATTACTCAGTTCTATCACCCTRCACCTCGCTATAGTCTCCTCTAAACCTGAGCTGACATAGCTGCTGCTAGTTAGCTCAGCTTCTAAGGTTCTTAGGCTAGCTTTACTGGTGCTAAGCGCGTTACCTGCTGGTTCGTGTGTCTGCCGCTCGACGCTACTTAAGTGACCTTTATTTTATGCTGAAAATCTGTTTTGTGGTTCATGATGAGCACAAAACCACCTTCGAAGAAGCCGAAGTCTTCTGTTCGCCCCTGTCCTCAGGGGAACGGCTTTAAGCTTCATGACAAGGACCAGCATGAGGCCTGCCCGGCCTGCCTAGGAATCATTCACGCTCGACGGGCGCTTGTGGAGCCCGAGTCCGGCCGGGCCTGTGCTGGACTTTCGCGTCCGACACTGGAGAGGAGAGTGAAATTCCTGGAGAAAATGCTGGGGGAAACTGCTGTTTTCCGACAAGACCCACTGCTCTCCGAATCCAGCCAGACGGCTCAGTCCGACAAAGACGAGGATTCGGCGGTCGAAGCCCCCGCTGCTAGCTGGGTGGACCAGATGGAGCACGAGGCGGCCTCACCCGACATCGAGGGGGCAGAGACCCAGTTTCTACTGGATCTAAACCAAGAGGAGGACAATGTTCTGCAGATGGAGCAGGAAGTTCTCAGTCTGTCCGAAGACGATGAGGAGCTGTGACCAGCTCACTCCACCCCCGCTGCTGAGAGGGTGGACCAGGATTCGTCCTTCTTGTCCCTGTGCCGCTGAGCTGCTGCTAAACTGGAGGTACAGTGGCCCGACCCCCCACCTGCTCAAAAGCCTTCGAGGTTCGCAGGGTTTTATCTCCTGTCTGAACCGGCTGATGTGAAGTACCGTCTGCCTATGTTTCCGGACTTTGTGTCGGAGCTGACGTCTTCCTGGAGCAAACCGCTGTCCATCCGCGCCTTCGTGCCCGGACAGGGTCAGTACTTGGACGTGGAAGGGGCAGACCAAGCAGGCCTGGTGGGCATCCCTCCGATGGAGCCTTCTTTAGCTGCTTATTTGGCTCTGTCTCACAACCAGGGTGTGAGCGGGCCCACCCTGCTCCCTTCCAAGCCCTGCAGATTCTCATCGGCACAGCTGGAGAAAATCTACAAAGCCCAAGGTAACACCGCCCGTGCGCTGAGCTCCATCACCATGCTTCAGACCTACCAGGCCATGGCCTTGGCTGAACTGGCAGCTCAGATGCCGCAGGAAAACCCCCTTTTACCCCTGCTGAACGAGATCAGACTGGCATCAGACCACATCCTGCGTGTGTCCTGCTGTGCAGCGCTGGCTCTGGGGAAAGGAATGGCTTCTACTGTCGTGGTGCAGAGGCACCTGTGGCTAACGCTCTCAGACGTTCCTGACAAGGACAGAGCGGCCTACTTGGATGAACCGATAATGCCTACAGGACTGTTTGGTCAAGAGCTTGACGTCATCCAAACCAAATTTGAACAGAGAAAGAAGCAGGCTGAGGCACTTCGCTGCATCATCCCCAGATGCGACGCAAGGCCCAAGGCCCCGAGCACATCCAGGTCTGCGTCTCATCCTCCTCCGTTCAAGAAGGCGGCGACGCCCGGGACTTCAAAGGCCCAGCCCGCCAAACCTTCCAGCAAGCCGCAGCCTCCCCGTCAATCGGCATGGAGCAAAGGCCCCCCTCCGAGTCAGCAGGACAGTTCAGCGGCTCGGAAGAAGAAGTCYAAGTCSTCCTAACAGCAGGACTGTCTTCACAGGGACTTCAAAAACAGAGAGACGATGTTCAGCTGCAGTTGAAAAGACATTTAAATATTWGTGTTTCAGAAAACGGCCCCAAGAGGCGTCGGGTTTCAAATGTTCAGTCTCCTCTGTTAATGTCCCGAAAAATAAACAAAAAAACATGTAGRCCCCTCCCTGGGTGCAAATTGTGTTTTAAAATGCAAAACTTTAATAAASAGTTCTGCAAATGTTTTCAATGTGTTATTAAAGAATTATCTTTGTGCACAAACGAACACAATAAGCTGCGGGCGACAGTCAGTAATGTTGTCCCTTCCCCATCCAGTGGAGGGCAGCAGCGACACGTCTCCAACAGTAAGGCAAGTTAGTCGCTTAGCAACGCGACTCCCTCTCTGGCGCGCATGCGCACCCTCTCCATGAGTACAAAGAACTGTTGCTATGGGTTACAGCATTCATTTTACAATTCACGCATACAGCCGTTTTGCATTCAAAACCAATGCATTTGCTTGTTTCATGTATGCAGTAGTGGGCACCAGCCCGCTAAAGCGCAAATCTACTAATAGCGTACCTAAATATTTCATTTGCGCTTTAGTGGTCTTACTAGTTTTTATAATTCATAAGCGGATTTGCGCTTACTAAAATTAAAATGCAGTACCGCTGATGATTAATTACAGTATCTACCAGTCATCATTATCTTGTACAGCAGAAGGTATGACTGTCAATGAATCACAACACACATGATCTATCCAACAGCATCCCTCCCAAGTAAACACACTTATTGGAAACGTATACATCCTTGCCGACTGTTTCTCTCGGTCAGGGTTCCCATTTCCCACAATGATTTTTGTCTGCTTACGTAGTAGGAAGGCAATAGCAAAAACAGTTTACGTTTGTAATCCATACTAAAATTTTGTATATATTGATTTATTTTACTTTACAATTGGAGCTCCTTTAAAAAAAGTTTAAACGCTGGAGCTCAATACTTCACGTAATTGGTCGAAGCAACGGGGTTAGAGACGCAGAAATGATTTAAAGATGTTATGCTGGTGAAGACAGACATCTAGTGGTCAACTGGAGCAACTACATGGAAAACTTTAAAATCCAAGCTTTTATTTTGAAGGGAAGATAGTTTTCTGTACTGCATGTTTTCGTTTCCCGTCACAAATCAAATCCATCATGTACCCATAATGCATCGCTTCAGTTTTCCAATAAACAGTTTTAAAATTACTTTATTGATGCTTCTTTAAGGAAAAATCTACAACAAACAAAAGAAAAAGACCAAGAAGCAGCCGACCTAGCAATCCTCAACAACTTTTTAAAGAAGCAGCCAGACTAGCAATCCTCAACAATTTTTTAACTTTTACACCAGGAGCTAAAGGTCTGTTTCAGGAAATCACATCCCCAGCAATCGWCGGTTATAGAATTAAGTTGAAAAAGAGTTAATGCACCGCTAGTTGGCAGTGTTGTGCATATATTGTACATGAATTYMTGCRAGCTAGTAAGTGTCAAATTGAACTTGDGCTTTAAAARTAGCTTCTGCTAYTTTTTCTATGGCATTAGCGCTTTTGAAGTTGCGGACCTAAATATTTTCATAAGCGCTTTAGAAATTGTGGAACTAATTTTTGGATTAGCGGTGCCCACCACTGCATGTATGTTTCCAAACCATTTCCAGAGATAATAGTTTTACTCAATTCATGTCTTTAGACCACACCTTACGTTTTACATTTCCCATGAAGATTTGTCCATGTGACCATTTTGTGACATGTACAAAGTGCACATGTTTTATTCTAGGCTGGTGTAAAGTTAACTGTGTCAACAGAAATCTGATGACTAAACACAACTTCACAGACATGCAGTCTTTTGTTATTGACTAGGTCAGTTTGCGGTGTTTGCTGTATCTCTCCATCAGCTGGATCACATGACATTCCTTTAAGACAGGGAACAAAACGGGGAGTAGCTGAAGCATGAAACATTAAAGCTCTACATCTCTTTCTAAGACATACAGAGCACAAATAGAAGAACTTAGTCAGAAAAAGGTGAGGTAACGTGTTAAACCAATTTTTATAAAGGGTTTTGCAAATATTTTGAGAGTTGAGACCTTTATACTTTATATTTAGGAAGTTTTTTCCTGTAATTCTTGGATGGATAGCTGTATTTGGACCAGGAGCATCTTTAAGTAAGTGTCATCCTTGCAGTCTTTCACAGGTTCTGACTTGATCTCTCCCCGCTCTGTTTTTGTGTCAAAAGGGCACAGTGGACTTGGAGCGTGAAGAGGGCGAGGAGTGTGAAGAGAATATGGAAGTGTTTGACGACAGCAGTTCCAGTCCGTCGGGAACCCTGCGCAACTACCCGCTAACCTGCAAAGTGCTGTACTCGTACAAGGTAACTACACACTCACCTGAGTTACCCTCTAGTTATTCAGGCACACACAGATACACATCAGTTCACCTACATGACACAGCTTTATTGTGTGCACAAGAAAAGTGAAGAAGTGTATTTGTTTCTTGTATGCAGCACAGCGTACATGAAACATTTTGTTTCTGCTCTGTCTGAACCCAGTAAAACCAAAACATAGTTTGTGCAAAAAAATTACAATCAATGAATAAATGCAAAGAACAAAAATAAACACATTAAGATATTGTTTTATAATTAATAATGATTTTCTTTTGCACCAGGTCTTGCAGTTGAGATGGTTGTGAACCAATAATCCTTGGATTAGTTTTCACAGTCCTCCTCAGTCATTTTTAATCATGCTGAGGTGCAAACAGTTTACATCCAGTTAAGATTCAGTTTGTTATCTATTGTTGACCTTTAAAAATACTGAGGGATTTTGTTTACGTGTTACGATTTTTTAGGTGCCTCACAAAATTAAGTTGTTGTTTTTTTAATCAAAATTAAATCTAAACTATTTTAAACAGATGAATGACTTATAATATGAAGTGAATGAGCAACTTTTGTTTTTCTAAAATCAATTATAAAAGTTTTTTTTTAATTTTTTTCCCTTACATTCAACTTATGTATTGTTTCCAAATTTAACAATATATAATTTAAGAAGTCTTTCAGCAACACCAACATACTGTATGCACCATATAGTATACACAAACTAAATTGCAAGAGGCTAAGGCAGCAGCCTTGTGGTACTCCGATATCCAGTATCATAAAGGATAAGTATCTATTCCTAACTTTTACAACTGTCACCATCTGCAGAAAGAGCTGCAAAATCACATTGAGTTTGTTAATCGAAAAAAAGATTCAAAACTGTTAAAAAGACCATTTATAGTCAACAACGTTCTGACGTATGTATCAAGCTGCTTTAAAATAGATCTTTCAAAATCATCATTCTCAAATTTATTTAATACAAACTTTAAGGTGTCAGTCTTGGAAAGTAAAGTCAACAATGTTTAGATGGTATATTTTTGCTGTTGTCAGCCAAGAAATTCAGGCTTTTCTTTTTCCACGTTGTTGTTAATTCTCACCTTTACTTTATTCCTTTTTTCTCTCCTCTAGGCATCTCAGCCAGACGAGTTAACTATTGATGAGCAGGAAATGTTAGAGGTCATAGAGGACGGAGACATGGAGGACTGGGTTAAGGTGCTCAAACAGACACACAGATTAGCCACGCAGACATATACATAAATATTTTCCTCCCCAGCTTTTCCCTTTATCTATGTGCTCTGTTTGGATTTACGTCTTCTTTTCTTTTTTTTAATCAAGGCACGCAACAAGACAGGTCACGTAGGCTATGTTCCAGAAAAATACCTACAATTCCCCACTTCCAACAGCCTACTGAGCATGCTCCAGTCTCTGGCCACGCTGGATGCTCGATCACACACTTCCTCCAATTCAACTGAACCCGAGCTGCACTCCACCTGCATCAATGGAGACACAAATGGTAAATGTTTTGCCTAAGTGTCATAAAAAAGTTTCAATTAGAAAATATTTGAGTATTGTTTGTGTATTTTAAGTAATTTAAGTAACTATTTAAGAAATGATTTTCTTTTATTGCTTTATGGAATTTTGTCTTGAGATTTTACCAAAATACAGTGTTTTTGGTAAAAAAACAAACACCAGTGTCACTCCTGCTCCCTAAATCAAGTTAAACACATTATAGTAGCAAACAAATGACTCGTTTTGGTTAGCCACAGAAGGGTCGAAACACATCTTGATTAAAATAAAGTTGCTGCGGTGGTTCTTGGCCCTCATTGGAAAAGAAGTAATAACTAAGTGGTTGTATAAAACTGCAAAGTCAGTGGTTAGTGTTGCAGGCCAATTTAATGTGATAGAGAAGAGTTTCCCTCTACTTTAACCTTCAGCTATGATTTGCAGCCTCTTAAACTTTTTATGAAGCAGTGAGTTGTTTCCAAGTGCGCACTTTGAAAAAGCCCAGAAAAACAAAACTGTTTAAGCTGCTGCACAAGACTCAGTGCTGTAATATATTATATTCTATATATGATCCGATTGTTAGACCATACAGATTTGATTGATTTAATCACATCACCCACCACCTTTCATGTCAAATTTTTAAACAAAGATATGACTCAGTCTGATAGCACTTAAAGTAAGTCATGAGAATGACTCACCACTTTTACCACATCAAAATGAGCCAAAGATCCAGAAAATTGGCAATATAGTCATTTTAGTGTTTGCTAACAACTCCAGTTAACTGTGGTGGCCATGTTGAATCACGTTGACTCTGAAAGATAGTCATTTATAGATTACATCCAATGGTTTATATGATATTTTACTAATGGCTTTGTTGTGAAAGAATGGCTCAAAATGCAATTTTATTTTTATTCAGCAAGTTATATTTCTGAATGTAGTTTTAGTGTATTTTTCATCATTTTTAAATTGTAGCATCTGCAGTCTTACAAATACAATATTTTTCATTTTCTTTGACTAGTTTTTTTATATATTTAATTTTTTAAAATCTGTTTATGTGTGTCTGTTTAACACTTATATTTGGATCAAGCTCCAGAAGAATTCGTTTCACACATTATTGTTGCTCATTTGTGTCCTCTCTGTATCACCCTTTATCCAACCTGGTGTGCTGTTTAAAAAAAAACCCTAAACAATGAGGCCAAAACAGACAAGGAACCATATTTCACTGAGAATAATTACTCCCTCTGTGCAACACTAATTGCTCTCTCTCTCTGTCTTTGTCGTCCTCGCTCTCCGCAGCCATCTACGTCCGCGCACTTTACGATTACGAAGGTCAGGCGGATGAGGAGCTCTCCTTTGTCGAAGGCGCCGTGATCCGCCTGTTGAGCCGCGACACGCAGACAGACGACGGCTTCTGGGAGGGGGAGCTGAACGGACGGGTGGGAGTGTTCCCCTCTGTGCTGGTGGAGGATCTCACAGAGAACGGGGAGACAAGCGGGGAACGGCCTGGCGACACACAGGTACAACAACACCTGCGGTAACAGAAGCTAACCCAACCCCAGTGGGGAAAAGCTCCAGAGGATGTGAGACAGAGATGATCTTCTTAGGTAAAGCACAGGATATCGGTGCCTTACTCCTGAGCTGAGCCACAGATTCTGTGTTCAGTCTTTCCTCGGGGTACGGATAAGCTGAAGTCTACTGTGTTAAACTGTGACTCCCCTCCCTTCCTGTCTGTCGCTGATCTGTCAGCAGGAGCAGAGTTCCCAAACGAGGGATCAGAACTGAACACTGATAAATATCCAGCACTGCAATCAGAGCTAAAGGTCTTATCTGTGGTACAGAGTGCTGCTCTGTTAGATGTTCTGACGGAGGAAGGAAGCAGCCTCTCCCTTCCTCTAAGTCTGTAGACACAACATGGCACAGCTTTAGTTCCGTGGGTTTCAGTGATTAAGGTAAACAACTGTAGGTGAGGGTTCAACAGAATGCAAAGGCAGTAAAGTTTCTGTAACTTAGTTTGATTTTTAACAATTTTGTCTACAACATAAACCTTTTAAATGTTCTATCAGCTATTAGATTTCTAAATGTGTCGATACTGTCATCAACTATAACAAATTATTCAGTGGAATATCAAAATCATTGTTAGACTTTTCCAGCTTCACAAAGAGCCCACCTTGTTATGTTATAATTAACTCTTACCGTGATTCATGTTTCAGCTACAAAAGGTGACAGTTTTTACAGGACAGTATAACAGTATTTATATTCTAGTATGGCATTGGACACAGCAGTGGGATAACACCACTATTTTGTTGCATTATTTTACGAAGTATGACTGTGCAATGACAATAAAGATTATCTTATCTTATCTTATCTTATCTTATCTTATCTTATCTTATCTTATCTTATCTTATCTTATCTTATCTTATCTTATCTTATCTTATCAAGCAAGGCAATATAAAGTGCTTTACAAGATTTAAGAAATGATACAAACAAATTAAAATATATCATTCATATCAATATATCGTTCAAATATAATAAATGAAGMTATTTGTGAAGCTGAGCCTGATTTTTGTTACTTTCCATAGATTTCACCTCCTTCAAAGTTGCCTTCGTCTCTGCCACCTCTGCCGCTGTATGACCAGCCTCCCATCAGCCCTTTCACCAGCCCCGAGACCTCCACGCCTCCTCCTCTGCCACGCTCTCCCTCAGCAGCGCTAAACGGGGAGCACAAGCCTCCGCTGCCAGCCTCTTCACACAAAGGGCAGCTGTCGTCCCGCAGTAAGASCCTAAACTTTCATCATTCGCCACACCGACTGACTGAGATCGCCCAGCCTTTTTTTTGTAAACAAAGGTTTTGTGTCTGTCACTGTGTAGATCATAGCTCTGGTAGGAGTCCAGTTTCTCCAGGATTTGCTCAGACTCAGCCGCTGCGACTCACGGTTGAAGGAGGTCCAGGAAAACTACGACCAGTTAGTATCAGAGTCATTTTGTTGTGTGGAACATGTTGATGGTGATTTGATGATCAAATCTTTTATGGCTTTTCTGGGGGAGTGAAAAAGACCCCRACACACACACCCCCACCCTCAGATGTACTGATGTTGCGTGTTGTTTTATAATGCAAAAAAAAAAAAAAAAAAAGCCACTGATGATGAAGAAGCTAAGATACTAATATTCAGATATTCAGTTCTGCTTTCTACTGAAGTGGCAAAAAAAACTTTTACTTTTAATACTTKAGAACAAAAAATATCAGATACTTTTAGACTTTTACTGATGTAATATTCCTAAAGAAGACTTTAACTTTTACCAATGTAATTTTTTGGTAAGATACACTAATGTTTGGTATGCTACATGACACCCTTCCCATTGGAAAAAAAAATGACTTCGATCCAGTGTAGCAGCTTTCAGGGTGGCGGCCATGTTCTGGACAATGGACCCCCTCACCCATTACATTCTGGGGTATTCAGATATTTCACTTTCCCTTTCATTTCTGAAATAAAAGGGTGTTCCAAGACTTTTGACTCGCCCACTATGTTTACTCAGGCTTATGAACGTAACAAATAAAAAACAGGAAAAACCTATTTTATGTTTTGGTGCATTATTGGTGAAAGGTTTGTTTCACTTAGACAGAGATCAGTTTTTTCCCCCATTGTATTGATTTTGTTTTAATTTTGTGCTGCAGGTGCGAGCTGCTCCCCCTCCACCCAAGCAGCAGCAGCAGCAGCCCCGTCGGCAGCAGGAGAAGAGTGACAAGACCGAGGAGGTGGAGATTACGCTGGTGTGACGGATGAGGCCGACGAACTGTAGCTGCAGGTGCACAAAAACATAAAATAAAACAAACTGGGTGAAAAACAAGATCTTTAACGGTCAGGGTGTGAACTGCTCTGAACTGAAGTGAGTGGAAACAAACTGAAGTGAAACCACACCGACCCCTCTGGACCCTCTTCAGGTTTAAGAGGAGAGCAGAGAGACAGCGGCCCATCAAATAATCCTCTGATTAGCTTCCTAATGAAGTGCAACACAAGAGTCCCTCGCCTCTTCATCCTTCCCTGTTCTTCCAATCCGGCCTTAGAACCTCACCTCACCGGGCGCTGCGATGAGGAGGAGAAAGGCTCTGAGAGGGGGGCTGTGGGAAACAAGCAATGAGGGATTTGATGAGTTTCCTTTTCTCTTGTTAGTCTGAGCAGAAGAGAAGTTGGAGTTCTTCTCTTCTTGAAGCATTACGTTTTGGAGCCCCAAACTAACAAAATGTAGAAAGGCTCCTCAGACAAGCAAAACAAGCAGTTTAACATGAATCCAAGTGGTACAATATATATATATTAAAGCACTGGGGATATAAAAATGATTGATTGTTTGACATCTCAGATTGTCTGTGGTTTAACTGTCAACAATAATTTGGTTATTTCAGCAAAGGTTTTTGAACACCCTGAAATCTTTCCTCAGAGTGAGAACTATTTGTATCCAATTACAAGTCATGTTGCTTAAAGTAGATGTGCAGCAAAAGTCAAATTATTATAAAGATTTGCTGCTTTTAAAGAAGATGGGCTCAATAACAAGAACCTAAACCACTTTTCTTTTTATGATTTACAAAAACAAGTGATGTTTTTGTTTGTTTGCTTGTTTTATCCAGGTTAAGATCTTTGGAGCAGATGGTTTGAAGGGTTTGAGGGTTATAAAAAATACTTTAAAAATATGGTTTTTGGGTTTTATAAACATAATTTTGGGTTAAACCAGCCGTGAGATCAGAGACAGAGCATTTCTTTTGATAAGAAAAATGGAAACTAATTACATAATAAAACAGGAGCCACCTGCATGAATAAAATATTTAGATTGATTAGTTTAGTTTTCCATTTCAGATCATCAATTATTTGTGGGTAACTTGCATGTCTGATACCTTCTGCTACATTTTCTGAGTGTTGAGGCTCCGTAAACCTCTTAGAGAGAGGAAAAAAAAATCCTCACTAAGTTTTTTTTAAAGCAGAGGGATGTTGGACTAAATGAACAGAGAAACTGGGTATTATGTGAATGCAGTGCCCCCCCAAACCTTCCCTCACCAAATCCAATCATTATATGTATTTAATGTGTATTAGTACAGTACATTACTGTTGTCCTAGGAATGTTTATACACACGGTTTCATATAAACTAACGCAGCTGAAAGGAAAAGCGATARGTAGTGGAAGTTATATATTTATCTTATTCTGAAAGGGCATTGTAAATACAGCAGGAAGAGGAGACGGAAGAAGAGAATGAGGAAGAGAATAAAAAAAACGAGAGCTGGCTGAGGCTGGATCCTCCCTTCTTTTGTTTTGAACCAAACTCTTCCCTTCCCTCCTTTATGTCACTCCAATGATTGTTTCTGTCTTTGGGCAGACAGTGTGACTCAGTGGGTATAATATACGCATACAGTTATAATATACTACACACACATGATGCGATTACTGTTTATCTCTGATTGAAGAAGGCTGCTGGTGCTTTGAGATGCACCAAAATGTTGGTATTCACTATGTGGTAACAAACAGAACCGAGCGATTTATTTGAAATGACTTAATCAACGAAAAGCAAATCTTGATCACATCTTCATTTATGACAAAGTTGCGTCGTCTGTCCCTGTTTACCTGACGTGCGGCACAATTTGCACTGCTCTCTCTGAACAAACAGGAAACGAGACTCGCTAGTTGCCAATCAGTTTCGAAAACCCTCCTCCCTGAAAACTCCTTGCCTGAAGGGGCAGCGTAGCACTTTTATTCCTTTTTCCCTTTTTAGAGAAAGTAGCAGTTTCCTCTCATGACGTCTAATGAGCCGCTGTAGCTACAGAAACACGAGTTTTCCTTTTTTCTTTTTTTTTCTTTTTTTTTTGTACGGACACTTTTTGCTTCAGTGTGACTGGGACTTAAAAAACAACACCTTTGCACTCTAGAAAAGAATTGGAATCATGATTGTGCGTAGCATTGTATGATGTTTTTACCTAACTTAAAGATACAAAGAGGTGTGATTTGAATCAGCAATTGTCAAAAATGTTTTTGTTTTGTTTGTTTGCTTGCTTTGGAGGAGGAAACTGTATGTTTGTGAGTGATTCTGTAAAAGTGAGAGGATGAATTTTCTATGTTTGGGCTCGACTCAGCTTTTTTTTTTTTTTACTACTTTAGAAGTTTTAAATTCTTACCCCAAAATAAAATACACTCAGACTTTTGAAAATGGGGCAAATTGATACAAACATGACATAAAGCAAAAAAGACATTAAATGTATAATGCCTTATTTTACTGGTAATGCTCCATATATATCATTATCATGTTAGTATTTTGTCTTTTAACAGTAAAGCAGGATAAGTAGTATCTTACCTGGCTGCCACTCTTTAAGACTCAAACTTGACTCCTTCACACCTCAGCCCAGTGAGATATGACCTTAAACAGGTAATCCTGTAATCCTTACAGATTACATCTGAGTAGTATTGATGTGTTGGATTGCGTTAAAAGGAAGTGCCGATCTGGTAATTGTGTTTATCTTTGTAGCATCCGCACTACAACATGTAAACATTCAGACACACACCTCTGGCAGAGAATATTTGAACAGACGGCAGTCTTTGATCTCTCTGAGATCTTTATTTGCGATGGTTTTCAAACTTGTTTTTAAAGTTTATGGTTTGAAGCGGCGCCCGTATTATTAGGTGTTTATTAGGTATTTAGTTTTGTTTTTTATGATTCTACGTCGTTCCTGCGTGGAGCGCTGTGGACCGTGACCGGCCTTCTCTCCCTCTTTTCAGACTGTTGCCACAATAATGAGGATGGATTCGGACATCTTTCTGCATATTATGCGTTGTACAGATGAAAAAATAAAAATTTGTATTTATTGTGTACAAAAGTTAATTAATAAAAAAATGTTTAAAATGTTCTTGTGTACATTTTGGTATTCAATTTGTAGTTTGTCTGATTAGATCAAAGAAAACTGAGTGAGTGTGTGTGTGTGTGTGTGTGTGTGTGTGTGTGTGT